AGAAAATAGTAGAGACGAGCTGAACAGAATAGTGAATAGGTATGACACATTCACACATTTACATTAAAACATTCAATAGATTCAGAAACTGAAGAATACAACAAAACAGTCTTGAATAGTAATCACTAGTATTTTTAATGATAAAACGGCCTTCATTTCTGTGGCCCTTACTTTGGCGCTGTGTTCAGGACAGAGATTACTATGGTATTTGACGGGGGTGTCTCGAGCGCCTGATTTTTCTTGAGGTAGTTTACTCCACCTGCTCTGCATAAAATATTTTTGTACAAAGGCCCAAAGTAGCAACAGTGGAAAAAGGTACTGAAGGTATACCTGAAGAAATAAAAAATTGTTGTCTGTAAAATTATTCATTTCATTGAGTCTATCTGGAGAATCGGAAGCACAGTTCCAAACGAATTTAACAGATGCAATTCATATCTATCTTTCCTTCTTCTTCGATTTTCTCATTTCCTTATATCAGAATTTCAGTGAGATTATTCAAATTTTTCTATGCATGTCAAAATTTCATGAACCATAGACCACCGCCAGACGGGACACAGAACACAAGGACACGGATGCACAGGACAGGATTTCCGAAGGAGAAGAAGAAAAACAATTGACAACTGGCTTGTCAGTGTCAGCCGTCACCGTCAGCCGTCAGTCTATGATAATAATCAGCAATTTGACGAATGGAAACATTGAAAATCATTGAATAAATTACTGGAACTATTCGGAACTGAAAACAATGACAACAGAGAAAGAAATATGGAATATGCAAACACGAAAAACTGTTTATTCGCAAATACAAAGTTCTGGATTCTTTACACAGGTCGGGTGAGTATCGGTGTCTTGTGGGCTGTCCACCTAATTACTCGTGTCAAAGTTTTTTCAACAAATACAAAATATTAACAGTTCCTGGCATATTTGTTTTGAGCTATTGGCATACGTACATTGCAATTGAGATACCTTCTCAAGAAATAGTTACATTCATACTCATAATATAAGGAAGAAATATAACTTCCACGTGCCCTTCAAGCATCTGGAATTACCCAAAAGAGCACCACACGTCTTTGGTTTGTACTTGTACAACTTCCTTTCTCACAATCTGAGAAGTCTGCCAAATCATACCTTCAAACTTCAACTGAAAAAAGTTCTAATAGATCTATGTCCTTACTCAATACAAGATTTCATAGAATCGATTCAGTTGTACGAAAATATTCTTTCGAATTTTAGATTTGACCAATTGTCATTAACATTTTAATCTTATATGTATGATTGTATACGTTACATGGCTAGTGCTGCTATTTATGAGAGCTTTCGTATTGCTTTAGTTGATGCTTTTTCATTTAACTATTTTTCTCAACTGTTCACCACTTACATTAGTATGCATCTTTATACTTATATTCAGGTTCTATGATTTGAATCGTCCAATAACCTTTGTAAGTTCTACAGGATGAATAAATTGATTGATTGATTGATTGATTGATTGATTGATTGGTATGAAAACCAACAGGAATGAAATGTATCCATGAACAGTATGAAAAATAATGGTGGGAAATACTAAACAAACTTACGAGTGCAACAGGAAATCACTATACAATGATAATTCACACTGGTTTTTAATGAACTATAAGATCACTAAGGGATCAGCTAGAGAACCAAGATCAGAAAGTGTATAACGTAGAGCAGGTAGTGTAGACTTGTAGAGAAGAGCTCAGAGAGAGCTCCATTCCTACGTTTGTGAGACTCCGGTACGGGACACCACTAATCATTGAAGATGACTAGGAGCAGCCTCAACCGCTGCCACCTTCCCCGTTGCAACGCAACGGTCCTCACAAAAAGACCTTTTGAGGCGAAAGACTTGAAGAGTCGAGCGTTTTGGGAAGTGGACCTGTGGATTTGGGCAAGAAAATCCTGAATTAGATTGTTCTATTGGAACATGACTGTGAAGTGTTTAGGGGCTTTTACGTGTTGTGGTGTGTGTGTTGGCAAATCGAAATCACAAGGATTGTCATTGTTTGAAATAGTTGCTATTCCAGGGCGCTTTGAAGGGGTGGGAAGTCCTAATGATTTATTTGGCCGAAATCATTATTGTTTCAGTGTGCTTTGTGTTTTTGACTTACCTGGTGGTTTCTGTGGGTTAGCAATTGGGTAGGCGTCCAAGAGCTGGTGTTTTGGCCACTTGTGTCGCTCCCTGAACCTGCGGTCGTGTTCAAGGTCTTTCCTTATCTGAGGGTTGTCGTGAGCTTCCATCTTGGAGTTGGTAGTTTGGGCTCGAGCTTTCATCCGATCCAGGAACTTGTTGTGTCATCCTCAGACTTCGGTTCTCGAAGGATTGGATTCTATGACGGTGGGTAGGAGCGCAGTGTGCCCATGCCACTGACGCGTAGGTCAGTATAGGCAGGAGCACTTGCTTGAGGAGTAGGAGCTCCAGGTCGGTTCGGAGTTTGCTTGTTCTACCCATGAGTGGGTAGAGTTTGGATCTGGCTACTGTTGCGAGGTTGAGTCGATCCTTCACATGGGCATGGAGTCTATGGTGACTCCAAGGTACTTTGCTGAGTCGGTCCATTGTATATCTCGACCTCCGATTGAGACGTGTCCAAAGGGTGGCTTTCTGGTCCTGCGGATCAAGACCACCTGGCTTTTCTCCGGGTTGATCTGGATCTTCCACTTGATGCACCAATCCTCTAGTTCGTCAATGCTTCTTTGCAGGTAACGGGTGACGAGGTGAGGTTGAGATGATCTGGCGGCGATCGCTGTGTCGTCCGCATAGAGTGCCAACGAGCAGTTTCTGTTGTTGTTCGGAATGTCGAAGGTGTAGATGGAGTACAGGTGTGGGCTCAGCACTGTACCTTGGGGTACTCCTGCTTCCGTGGGTCGAGGGGCTGAGATCTTGGAGCCGGTTTTGGCTCTGAAGGTTCTGCCTCGTGGGTAGGAGTCGATCAGCTTCACCATCGGTAGTGGGTAGTCCAGAAGGTGGAGTTTGGCTACTAGACCGTCGTGCCAGTCTCGGTCGAAGGCTTTCGCAACGTCCAGTAATATAACTCCTGTGGTCTGCTTCCTATTCAATCCAATGGTTGAATATTCGAGAAGCCTCAGGACCTGCATTTCTGTCGAGTGCTCGCTCCTGAAACCGAACTGCTCGTTCGGAATGATGCTCAGATCGCTAGTCATCTCTTCCAATCTGCTACGGATGACTCGTTCTGCTACTTTGCTGGGCGCAGGTAGCAGGCTGATTGGTCGGTTATTTTGTGGAAAAGTGGTATTTTTATTAGGCTCACGTATAAGGATTACTAAGGCTTCTTTCCAGGCGTTCGTGAAGTGCTTCAGGCGTAGGATGGCATTGGTGATGTTGACTAGGGCAGCTATTCCTTTCTGGGGTAGTTGTTCGAGGGCCTTGTTGGGTATCTGGTCGATACCTGGGGCTTTCTTGACTTTCAGGCTTCTGATGATTTGTTTGATTTCCTCGGGTGACGTTGGTCGAAGGAAATTATTCTCGTCGTCAGATTGTCTGATGAGGCGAACATGGCGTCGGATTCTGGCTTCGTAGGCTTCATCATCAGGCTCCAGGGAGTCTGCAAATGCGGTGGCCTTGTCTTCGTTGGTATACACAATATCATTTTCTCCGTGGAGTAGTGGTATCAGTGTCCTTCGATGTCTAAGGAGTTTTTGCATTCGCCAAATGCTGTTGTCCTCAGTGCCCAAAGATGTGAGCTTACGATCCCATCTGTCGTCTGCGAGTTTTTGGAGTTCGATTCTGACTTCTCTGGCTAGCTGCCTAGCTAGTCGGTTGTGTTCGGGGTGTCTGGTTGCCATGGACAGTCTTCGGGCTCTTCTCTTTTCGCGGAGAAGTGCTCGAAGTTCGGGAGGGATATCGTGCTGCAGGTTCCACCTGGTGGTTTGGGTGACAGTGGTGCTGTTCTCCATGGCTGCTTGGACATCCTACTCGACGGTCCCCACGGCGTTTTACAGGTCTTCTTCGGTGACTATAATGGGCATGGGGCCCATTTGGTCGTGGAAGCTTATCTGGAAGAGCGTCCAGTCGGTTTTGGTCCTCGTGGCTGGTCCGTCCGGCTCGTGTCCCTCTCCTACATGGAGTTGAATAGGGACATGGTCAGACGTGCCGTCGTGAAGGACATCAATATCGACTGGAAGTTGCAGGCCTCGCAGGAGAACAAGATCCAGGGTGTAGGGCAGTCCATTGTCGGTGTATCTGGTGGGTCCTTGCGGGGTCACTAGGGAGACATCTGGGTGGTGTTCTAGAAAATTGTTTAGTCGCTTACCTCCAGAGTTGGTGTTCGGGTAGTGCTAGTGTGGTGATCTGCAGTTTCAGTCGTCGATGGCTATGGTCTGCTTTCTGTTTGCTAGCACGGTGTTGAGATCCCTCCGGTTTAGGGGATGGATGAGTTGCGGTGATAGGTGTATTGAGGCGATCCGGATGATGCCATGGTTTGCTCTTTCCACAGCCACCATGACTGCTTCCATGTGCTCTACTGGCGGGGTGGGTAGTTGGTGGTGGGCGATGGAGTTCTTGATGAGGAGGAGAACTCCTCCCGTAGCTCTTCTGCCCGGTCGCTCTTCACGGTAGATTTGGTAGCCAGGCATTCTGAACTGTTGGTTTGGTTTGAGTCGGGACTCTCGTAAAGCCATGACATCAATGGAATCTCTGGACAGAAATTCCCCGAGTTCTCGGAGGAGTGCTCCGTTGATTTTCCAGGAGCTTACTTCCAAATCGTCTGTCGTTCGTGCTCACGACCTTCCATCGGTGACCGGTACGGACGTTTGTAGGAATGTTGCTGTTTGCTGCGTTAGGATCTGCATGACTTGGGCCATAGCTTGCTGCATTGACTGCTGCATGAACGCTAGGTGTTCCTGGAGAATACCTTGGGGGTGGGTTAAGCTGAGGGAGAAGTTCTCTTCTCCGCCTGCGCTGTGGAAGAAGTTGCATTAGCTTACCTGGGATTGTGTTGGATTTGGGGCTGGTTTGGTGGTGGGTTTTGCTGCTAAGGTTGGTTGGCAGTTTCGGTTTTGGGGCTTCCTGTGAAGTTGGCTGGATGTTTGCCTTCGCAGTTGGCACATGTGGCGTCGGTGTGCCTTGGTTTCGGGCATGTTGAGGTGGGGTGGGGTTCGCCGCACTTCACGCATCTCCAGTTGGTCTGTCCGTGACCAAATTGCTGGCATCTATGACATTGGGCTACCTTCTTGGGTGGGGGGTTCTGGATTTTCATCTTCACGGAATATCCGCAGCTGTCGCTCACTTTCCAAATTCTGGCATCTGATTTTGGTACTTGGACTAGTACCAATGGAATTTCTTTTTCCGTCCTCACAGATTTCATCCTGTGAACTGCCAGGATGATTGATCCTTTGGACTCCAGGTCTCCTTTAATGTAGAGTGGTTTCACACTGATATCGATGCCTTTCATTACCGCGTAGTGCGGCTTGTCGTCGGGCAGCGAGTATGTGTGGAACTCATGCTTCTCTTCTTCTAAGATTTTGGTGGCTGAACGGTATTCTTCCACCGTTTTTGTCTGGATTTTGACTCCGCCTTCAGTCAGTTTTTCACTGGTTACTTTGACTCCTTTCAAGGCGAATTCTCTTTGGACTAGCGTCCATTTCGACGACGTTTTCAGTACTATCGAAGGGATAGCACTTTTTGCTGTTTTCTTCTCAGTGGGCTGAGAAGGTCCAGCTGTTTGCTCAGGGGAGTCCATGGGGGGGTTGGTTGAAATGTCCTCTTCGGTTTCTGAGAGTGACCTTGGCCTCTCGAGGCCTTGATGGCCAGCGACATCTATCATCAGGTCTTCTTCGGCGGTCTGGGTATTTGGTAATTCATAATTAGCTGGAGAGGGCTCCTGTTGCGCAACTAGTAAGTGCGCTAGTTGGTTTTCTAGCCATAGTGTTAGCTCTTGGTTTATTATCATTAACCTGGTTAATTCTTGCCGTTGGGTAGCAATTTCCATGTCTTGCTCCTCAATCCTCTGTTCGAATTTTTGGAGCTGGAAATGCATGATCGTAGTTTCCGAAACTGACGATTTTCTGATTTCCTTTTCTTTTTTGTCCTCGATCATTGGGACCGCACCTGTACCTGTGGGGGGTAAAAGAAAAGCAATTTTTGTTTTTGCTGCTTGAATCGAGTTAGACTCCATTTTTGCAGCAAAAACTGAAAAAAGAACTGGTTAGTTTTAGTTCGCTTTCCACGGTATAGATACTGGTAATCGCTTGAATTTGATTTATTTGAATATAATTGTTTCACCGCTCACCTACGGTTACTTGAAGTGCTGTTCAGAAGGTAAAGATTGAAGATTAAGATTCACAAAAATAAAAGTGATAAGTAGACAGTAATAGCTTTCAGATATTCCTGTGGAATGAAAGGAGATTGAAGGTGAAAGAAAGATTTCTATAATCTGTACGAGTACGGATTATAAAAGTTGGTTTAGTACCTAGAGGTGAAGGGGGTAATTACCTGAAAAGAAGGGTTGCACAGTGTCTCTAGCAGAGTGTATTTATTTCTAAAAACAAACTTCTAGAGTATCAGAGTTAATACAGTATGAATAATATATATGAATATAATACAAAGATGTATCAAGTGTGACACGCTAGCGGTGAAGGTCCCGCGTTACGGTCGTCTGAAAGAGGAAAAGTTTGATACGCTAGCAGTGGGGGTCCTGCGTAACGATCGTCTGAAAAGAAAATATTTTTTTTTTTCATTTATTCATTTATTTATGTTCAAGGCACTTCAACAGGATGAGTTAACATCCTAATTACAGAAATGCTCAGTAATGAATTTTAGTTACACGCAATTATATTCTTAACCAGTTGAGCGCCGTGAGGTATAGTGCGCGTGCCAAACATAGTTTAGCCCCTGGGGCAGCGCGGCATATACACTGTGCCTCGTGACGGACTGTTATATTTTCTGGTGTGGTATCGTAGAGATGCCTCGCTACTGTACAAATCAAATTGGGGCTTGAAGAGTGTGGCCTGACGAACCATGCTCTTGGCCCGTGAATATTTTTTATTTTCAATTTTTTTTTGATATTTCAATTTGAAAGTGGAGGATGGTCTTGTTTTGGTAGGTACTTCACTATGAACGAAGAAAGCATTTTTTATTCAAGAACATTACAAACAACGGAATATATTGCATCTCATGAGATGGAAAGATAATGAACTGAAATTTATGCAACTGAACTGAACATGACATGTATGTCGCATGGCCCTATACCATATGATAATTCCCACAGGCCGCGCGGCATACAAGGCATGCCTCAGACAAAAAGGCCCATGAAAAAAAAACTAAATCACAAATTGACAAAATTCGTGGAGAGACATAAACGGTGATGCTCAATTATGTTGAAACCAATAAAAAAAAATTTGGTCATCTGGGACCAGATTTTTTCCTTGTACGGCGGCGCTCAACTAGTTAACTAGTCACTTATCTATCCTACAATAAATTGATAGTTATATAATGCAAAATTTGGTGAAGAAACAATGAATTTAATTTCATTCAAGTGAATACTTCAATCGCTAATCGTCTGGCTGAAGTGAGAGATAAACAGAAGAGATCAATATGAGAAGAATATAGATCATGATTTTTTTCTAGTTGACGGATAGGTGAATTTACACATGTATTTGTGTGATATATCCTGTAATAAAATAGGTTATTATTTCTCGTGACTCTGATTTTGGAATTCGAGCATAATTGGCCCAAAATTGAACTACAATCTATCTTGGAGTTAATCAACTTGTGGAGAAAAATTAAATAACTTATAGACCTACGTGAGCTGAGTTTCAGCATTTTATAATGTCGAAGACTAGCTTCGTTACCATGGAAGTTTAGATGCCTGTTAAATTTATAATTAAAGTGGAGAATTCATTTTTTTTTGGATACTCTCAATTCGTTGTATGTACTTCTGATACGAAGGATTCCATATCAAACTCGCAAATTCAAGATGACTTCTAACCAGTGAGTTGTAGAGGGTGATGATAGATGATGAGGTTTTGAAGCCTCTGGTTATTCGTAATATAAAGCCCAGATTCCTCAGAGAATGTTTTGCAATTAGTTCAATGTGCTGCCCAAAATTCAATTTGGAATCAATGATGACTCCAAGATCACGGATAGAAAGATAGATAGATAGATAGATAGATAGATAGATAGATGGATTTATTTGACAACTTTACAATTAACATGTTTGCTGCAAGTCAAGTTTTTGAAAGGAATCAATACAAACATTTGAAAATATGATTGAAATCCGCTGAAAATTAAAAACGTATAACATCGATGGTATTCAGACCAACATACACAAAAAAACATAGAATTGTATGAGCCTAACAAACACAACATGAATATAAATAAATTAAAAACTTAATAAAAAATAAAAACAATCATGTCCTTATGCAGACGTACAAAATATATAGGAATAACATAAAAAGAGTTATAAATGAAGCCAAAGCGAGACACTATCGCGAACTTAATCAATGAAGCAACAAACGCAAATGCAAATAAAAACAGTGAAATGAACATACTAAGTAGTAATAAAAAACCGTTTGAAAATACAAATCAGATGGCTAACTATTGTAATGACTACTTCACAAAGATAGGACAGCAAATGGCTGCCAAAATAAAAGCTCCTAACAATTACCGTAATTCCCATAATCGCCGCGTCACTCGAAGTATGTTCCTCAAGCCTGTACAAAAAAACGAACTCATCTTACACATAGCGTCACTCAAGAATAATAGTTCCTCAGGGTTTGACGAAATTAGTACTAAACTTATAAAAGATCACCACTTACTCATTATTAATCCGCTCATGCATGTCATAAACCTTATCTTTCTCCAGGGAACTGTTCCAAATGACTTCAAAAAATCAATAGTGGTCCCAATCTATAAATCTGGAAATAAAACCGAAATCAGCAATTTTCGACCAATAAGTCTGAGTACTTTTGCTAAATTATTCGAGAAATGCCTCAAAGACAGACTATCAAGTTTTTTTTATTAAAAACAAACTTTTGAATAAAAATCAGTTTGGCTTCCAAAAAGGTGTTAGTACAAGTCATGCTATATTTAGACTTGTTGACTCTATCAAATCTGACTTGGACAACAACAAGAAATGTCTGGGTGTATTTTTGGATCTTGCAAAGGCCTTCGACACAGTGCCTCATGAAAAACTGCTAGAAGTGCTTGAGCACAATGGCGTGAGAGGCGCTGTGTTGAACGTCTTCCGCAGTTATCTGAAGGACAGAATTCAGCAGGTTAAAATGAATAACACCATGAGCGACTATAGAACGATCAATTTAGGCATCCCGCAGGGAACTGTACTTGGTCCTCTCCTATTCGTTATCTATATCAATTCATTACTGAGCAATAACATACAAGGCTTAATCATATCGTATGCGGACGACACAGTTTTGGTATTTAGCGATGATACTTGGGAAGGTGTGAAAACTAAAGCAGAACTTGGTATCGCAATGGTGAAAGACTGGCTAGACTTTAATGAATTAACCCTGAATATAGATAAATCAAAATTTATTGCATTTTCTCTAACTGATGTCAACAGACCAAATTTCAACTTCCTACAGCTACCAAGAACCGGACATAAAATTTATGAAGTTAGCAAAATTAAGTATTTCGGTGTCATAGTTGATAAAAATTTAAAATGGTCAAATCATGTTAATTATCTAGTTGGTTAAACGAGAAGGCTAGTTTTCAAGTTTTATGAGCTACGTAAATTCATGAATAAATAACTTCTTATATCTATCTATGAAGCTTCAGTTGAGTCAAAACTATATTTTAAAGGTTATCTTTCAAAAAGGAAAACAATTCGCTACGGAAAAGCTCTATGACGACAATATACTCAACATCAGAATGCTATATTTTTATAATATTCATCTTTTTTTGTATAAAAACAAGGACAAACAAAAGTTGAGCATACATACCAAACTAGACAAATATCCAACCAGAATTTAATTGTTCCTTTTTACAGAAAAGACGGTAACCAAAGATTCATAACGAGCCCAGCTCCAAAAATTTACAATTCTATACCAATTCACATAAGAAATATTTCTAAATATGATGCATTTTGCAGCCCTACTTTTATGAAAAATAGGTGCATTGCGAACGGCAGCTCTTCGTCAGTAGGCACTATGGGTTCGAGTTATCAAAAAGAGTTAAAATAGCAAAATTTCAGTTATCTAGCAATCATAAAAGGTTGAACAAAAAAAAAAGGGGCGCCACTGCAACTTTCAATTCGAAAGAAAAGTTACCTGGAAAGTTGAGCAACCAGATACTGAATAATATTAGTTGTTATCCCAGACTGAAAGACCTAAATTTACCTTATAGAGATGTTGTGAGTTGGAGTGTCATGTCAATAAACAAATAAAACAGTCATATACAATACCCAAAACATTTAATTTTGATGATAGTACTCATATATCATATCACATGGTTTTGACAAATATGCATAAATCAAAAGAATATTAGATTTTCTGTTAAGAAATTACACTGTTGCCTGCTATTAATGCTATTATGTGGATGAAAATATATATAAATCAACTTTATATTGTACTTGAAAACTCAAGAGCTCCTGTAAGGACGTTTTATAGTCATAGCAGATTTGAAAAAATATTGAAAATGGAAGAATTCTACCAGCGCATAGTATACTATGTGGAGGGGAAGTATGTACCTTTCATGTGTGATTTCATCAATTTTTGATCTAGCTATGATTTAAAAATGGTCCATTATATACACTAGCAATAGGCATTATGAGTGGATAAGAATGAAAAATAAAAATATATTTTTATGTCAAAAACCTGTATGGTGTGTCCTACACCAGATATCCTTGATGAAAATGGCTTCAGTGCCACCAAGTGAAGCTTCTGAGGGGAAGATTGGCGGAGAGCGGGGTGCTGACTTCACATCCATGGATGTCAGATGACATTGACAGAGTTGTCGTATTTCCACCTTGAAAATCCATCATATCAGGAACAAACAGGGGACGATATCCAGATTCCAGATTCCAGACTACTATATAGCCACCAAAGGCCTTGTAGAATTAACAGATCCTGGTCGAGCAATGACTCCTGGGAAGAATAGTGCTCCTGGTAGGATAACTCCTGTTGTAGAACTCCCGGTAGAAAAAACCCTTAAATAATT